ACGTTTCGACTTTTAGGGTTTCAAGCGCGGGATTGGGATACGGTGAGTTTGGGTAACATGCAATCCCCCACATTGCCACAGGCATAACGCAAGAGGCTTGGAGTGCGACGAGCTGTAGCTGCCAACCCTTCAGGTGCGACAAGCCCGTGTAACGTCAGTGGTGCTGCTTATGCGGAGAACAAAATCAACTCACCCTTTTTTCAAGACAGGTCGACTGAGTCCCGTCATAGGTACTGGTCGATTATATTAACAATGTCGGCGCCAGGAAGGACCCGAAGTTCCGACCATTTGGCGAACAACACACACACACACCACACATGTGGCTCGCCGCGTCAAAGAGGCTGCAGGGGCGGGAGCGACGTAGGCTTCTGCCCTAACCCTACTCCTCGCGTAGGTTTAGGGGGGGAAGGCCCGTGTAGGGGGCCCCCTCCTCATGTGTTCGACCCTTGCTTAGTAAGGACCTCCGAGACACATCCCTCTGTCTGGCGAGATCTCAGACGCTATGAATAACACACACAATATGACAATCGAGGGGGACATTTAGGCGTCTATGAATCGGCTCCGTTCATCTCACAACATGGATACGATAACACATTGCACACATCCCTCCATAATCGAATCTGGGTCCACTAATAGTGGACAAACTGGTCGAAAACACTAGACAAATTTTGCGCATCGACTGGGTCCGCCTATCAATGAGACAACCTGGTCGACAATAGACACGCTTTGTATAATCGAATCTGGTCCACTAATCGTGGACATCTGGTCCCATGTCGACACCGACACCCTCGAGACTCAAGTGGTAAATTCAAATTCTAGCGCACTCGAGCTGGTGTCTCCAAAATTACCTACCCCACCTTTAAGCTTAGACAGTTGAAGAACACAATTGAAAACCACTTACCACGTTTTATACTGCTTTCATAACACATGCATTCAACCATCCCAGCAGTTCAAGTCCTGACCAAGAGAAATTACATTCCCCCTCTTTTTATCCTTTAAACTTTAAAGGAGCATTGAAATGCAATACAAAAAAAACTAGTATAATAAACGAGTGGTCACCTTTGCATTCATACAATCATTATATTGATAAAGTTTATATAGTAACACATCAATAATCATCCTGTCTAAATAAACATAGTATTGCACAAATTCATTAAAATGTATGTCTATTCAAATTTAAATCAGAACATCTTTCCAGGCAGTCGTTTTTGACCCGTCTCGATTTTCCTGTTAAAGCTTTCTTGCTAGCTACTAATAATGTATTTAAAAGGTATTTGCCAGGCAGCAATAAATAACCTGCAATATGTATATTGTGGAGGAAGAGCAGTCAATTCCATCAGCAAAAATGATAAAAAATGCAGTACTCAGTACGAGCAAATATGTTTGCAGCTCCAAAGTACAGGCTATCGAAATGATCTGCCAGCTGTTCACCTCATTTTCCCCAACATAATACATTCCTCCCCATTTTCCCTGCATCTACACCTTTTTGTTTCCCCTCCTTTCATATCTAGTTTAAGCTAGGCAGCATGCAAATATGTCTTCTTTGTTTCACTTGATAATTTCCCCTGTTTTCTCAGATTTGTAATAGTCTAGTTCCTTTTGCAGTACAGTTAATTTTACTGGGACAAGTCTTTGATTAAGTGAGAAGTGTTCTAAGCACAAGCCACTTCTTTTTATAGCCAATGATAACATCTACCAAGAGGTCATAACTTCTATAATATTCAACACTTTGATAAATGAACTCAAATCTTTGTTAACAAAGAGATCACAGGGTTGACGCACCTTTTTAAATCCTTTTGAAATAAACGGCAATCCACTCTTTCTTAGTTCACAAAAGATTGTTTTTGTAAATCTTCTTTCCATATGGTTCTTTGTCAGGCAGTAACAAAGGCTTGTGATTGCTATACATAGATGCCTTGAGAGGATAACGTCAAATCTCCTTTGCTCTACTCTTCTTACTAAACAGACGTCTGTTTTCTATAGCCTGCATCTGTTCCTTTCATCATGCTGAATACAGAGGCATAAACATTTTTGATCACAGTGAACCCCCCCATTCTGTGATAGATCCCTTTTGCGCACTCTTTCTCACTTTGTCTATGAGAGTTATTTTTCTCCCCTTTCAATTTAAGACTTCACTCTTCTTCTTTTCTTTTTTTCTCCTGTCACATCTGCACATCTCTTTCAGCTTCAGCTCATACATTATATCTTATCCCATCTCAGCTCATCTTTATTCTTTGTTCTTACTCCTTCCTGAAGCTATTGCTATGGTGCTACGGGATCTCATTAAAAACTTCTCTTTAAGAAAGGTTGTAATATAGTCATCTGGAATTCATTAGAGATGGTATCAGCACACCCTCATTTCCAGAATGTACCAGTATAAAAAATATAGTTTAACTATTTTGTTGAACTCTATACATGTTACAAGCAAGTTGTCAAGCAAGGACTATGTCACACACAGCAACATGTTAGTTTCAGATTGCATTGAAGGAGGTATCAAATGTTGAGCACTGATGAATGTAAGGGGAAGAGTGGAAAACGGATCAGGGATGTCTGTCTGAAGGTCGAACTGAAGGTGAAACTCAGGTTGGGGGTTCCATTTCAGACGTGTTAACCCAATTTGAATAAAGCCCCCAGACTGTACCTAGAATAGGGCACAACAATATGAAACAGATTCCATAGAAAGAGATAAGGTGAGAGAGGATGTAGGGAGGAAAGGATGAAGGGATATGGGGAGTGAGGGAGGGATGAAACGTCAATACAAATGTAGGGAAAGAGTTATAAAGGGTAGAAGGGATGTAGAGAGGGATGTGGAGGGATGTAAGGATGAAGGGATAAAGGGAGTGAGGGATGAAGGGATGTGGGGAGGGAGGGATGAAGGGATGTGGGGGGGAGGGATGAACAGTCAAAGGGATGTAGATAGGGAGGGATGAATCGCCAAGGAATGTTGCAAGGGGGGGATGAATGGTTGAAGGGAGGTAAGGAAGGAAGGATAAAAGTTTAAATGGATGTAGATAGGAAGGGATTAAGGGTCAAGGGATGTCAAGAGGGAGGGACGAACGGTCGAACGGAATTCGGGTGTGAGGGATGAATAGATTTAGGGAGGAAGAAATAAAGGGATATATGAAGGAAGGGATAAGTGGATTAAGCAAACTAGGGATGGAGAGTTAAAGTGTCGAAGAGATCTAGTTTGGGAGGGACGAATGAATGGTTGAAAAGATGTAAGGAGGGAGGGATCAAGTGTCGAAGAGATGTAGATAGGGAGAGATGAATGGGTTGAAGGAATGTAAAGAGGGAGGGATGAATGGATCTAGGAAGTAAGGGATGAAAGGGGAACTAGGGAAGGAGATTTAAAGGGTTGAAGAGATGTGGGGAGGGGGGGATAAAGGGTCAAAGGGATGTAGGGAGGAAAGGGTTAAAGGATATGTGGAGGGAGGGATGAAACGTCAATACAAATGTAGGGAAAGTTTTATAAAGGGTAGGAAGGAGGGATGTAAGGATGAAGGGATAAAGGGAGTGAGGGATGAAGGGCAGGTTGGAGGAATGGAAGAAGGGATCCTGGGAGGGAGGGATGAAGGGATGTGGGGAGGGATGGAGGAACAGTCAAAGGGAGGGATGAATCGCCAAGGAATGTTGCAAGTGAGAGATGAATGGTTGAAGGGATGTAAGGAAGGATGGAAGGATAAAAGGTCAAATGGATGAAGATAGGAAGGGATGAAGGGATGTCAAGAGGGAAGGACGCACGGTCGAAGGGGTTGTCAGGTGTGAGGGATGAATGGATTTAGCGAGGAAGAAACATAGGGATGTATGAAGGAAGGAATAAATGGATTAACCTGTTAAGCCCGGGAGCCCCGCCTCCGGGGCAACAAGCAACATATTGCAAGAAACAGGGGGCTTCTTAACATTTAACAACCTATTAATGTGTAATACCCACTTAACGGGAAGAAACTCAGCTGCCTCACGATATAAACAATTTTTACCGAAACAAAACATAAGTCTAACGCCGAGCCTCTGAATTAGCGCTAAAAAGGTCAAATGTCACTTGTTTTGCATCAATCTTGATACAGGGTTACTTATTATATGTTATAGTTTGGATTCCTAAAGCTGTTAGTCTACTATCCCATCATTCAAGGGTGGTTTTCACTATAAGTAATGGGTTTTTTTTGGGCGGAAACTATCATTTACATTTTTTGGAAGGGATATAAAGAGGGAATGATGAATGTTAGAGTCAGGAGGGAGGGGCGATGGTCAAAGGGATTTCNCCTCCAAAACACTCTCTGTGGGGTTAGAAGATGATGACGATAATTACATAATATAATTTAACATAACGAGATTTATAGGAATTGTATTATTGTCTGAAATACAATTATAATATAATTAATATATAATATTAGGGTTCTCACCGATGTGATGTCGTAGTGTTTTGATAGTACTACCCAATAAACCTGTCTCGGTTTACGACGGGTTTTCTTCAGATTGTTGTAAGCTTACAATTTTTTAGGAGACCATACTACTGTGACTAAGTCGGAGAGACAGTTTTACTCAGCTACTACACAGTAATTTTTTTTTAGTTGTGGTGTTGACGCTTCTTTATGGTTTTTGTCTGTAAGTTCTGAAGTTCTTGATGTATTTTTTTTGTTCTCTGTTTCACGTTTTCTTTGTTATGGTTTTCCATTAATTTTATGTCAATTTGTATCTCTATTTATCTATTCTACCTGCAACGAAGGATTTGCTAGTCAAAAGGGTCTACTGGACTCGGAAGACCCACATAATTACATCGGCTTTTAGACTTTACATAAAACAGAATTTGGTACATTTTAGAAATATTTGTTTGGTTTAGTTATCAAACTGTTTGTTTTTCAGGAGTCTTGACCTAACTACACTAGGTAAGAGAACCACAATCACTTCTGAGGTCGGTCGTCGTGTGGACTTAGTCGCTGTCTGAAGATTATCTAAAAAAAACACTCCTCGTGCTAAAACATTTGAATCATACCAGAATACTATCAAACATCGTTTTCATGCATGCTTTTCATCTTTGCTTCATCATGGAACTCATCCATCATACAATCCATCAGATTCATCAGGGACTTCACTAGATTGGTGTCAGAGGTCGGGGACAGCTCCTGGAAAAGAAACAAACGTTCAAACTCAACGAGAAGAGATTCAGAAACCTAAACTATTTCAAAACCATTATATTTTGCTATACCTTGCAGAGAAGAAAACACATTTATCAATATGACATTCATGTATTTTTGTAGATGGCAAGAGAACATTTAAATGTTTTGGAGTAAAACGCTGTACAACAAACAGTATTCCCTGAGGATGTTTCGGCACCTTGGTGGCCTTTCGAATGAGCAGAAGGCAGGCTGGCAGTATGCGGTCGAAAAGGCCAGTGATGAGCTCTTTGTGCGCTGCATTGACTGTGGCGGGCAGGGTATTGAACCAGGACAGCATAAGGGGCCGCCAGCCCAGCATATGAGGCTCCATGTAGATCATACCACAGCGAGACACCTGTTGTAAAACAAAAAACATCTGAAAAGACACATCCAAACCACTGGTACTAAACATAAAGAACAATCAATTGCAGTACACAACTATCAGACCCGTAATGAGTATTACAAAAGGATCATTATCAGTAGGGTATTGGATGCATTACGGTAAATTATGTGTTGACAAGCAGTGCGGTGTAGGTGAGCCTTCTTGAAGCAATTTAATTAGTTCACTTAGGTTTAGTAGCAGGGCCAGGCTTCATCCACACCTCTAAACACCTGCTAAACTACTCATAACGGCCCGTCCACACAGTGGCGTGCGTTTAAGCTTGGCGGTGGGCGTGTCTGAAGCTTGGGGAGTTCTCGCGAGCAACGCAACCAACAACAACCCCCGACATACAGTTTACAAAGTAAACTGGATATAAACTCCCCAAACAGGCGAAAACCTACCAGTTTCACCCACTATCTCTGCCACTTCCCTCCATGCCTGGCCCCTCCGGTTTGTATCCCGGTAGGTGAACAGAGACCGCTATGATTAATTTCTCCTCCATTGTTTGGAATATAANGGCTTGTCATAAATATGATGCAAGAACCCAAAATGGTATACAATAGCAAGTCAGTGTACCATTTTAAACCTAAAACAAGTTGCCATATACAGGACTGTCTCAGAAAATTAGAATATTGTGATAAAGTTCTTTATTTTCTGTAATGCAATTAAAAAAACANCATTTTAAACCTAAAACAAGTTGCCATATATACTTGTACTTAGGTACAATTATTCTTTAACTGTCACCAATGATTTGACAGCAGTTATGGAAAAAACAACAATCATTGGTGACAGTTAAAGAATAATTGTACCTAAGTACAAGTATATATGGCAACTTGTTTTAGGTTTAAAATGGTACACTGACTTGCTATTGTATACCATTTTGGGTTCTTGCATCATATTTATGACAAGCCATTAGACAAACAGAGTGTACAGGAGTTCATGTATTTGTAAGCTAAATTACATTAAGAAATGTGCCGTATCTCTTTCTTTCCAGCCTCATGTTTCTCTATATTAATCTTGATATCAATATTTTTCAAGATTATGCTCGTATAGTAAAAAATATATGTAAATATATACTATTATACTGTCAAAAGAGTAAAACATCAAAAATCCTAGTGCAAAGATGTTTGCCGTCAAAAGTCTCATTGCACCGGCAAAGTTTTGAACATAAAAAAACAACTATTGACTTGATTAAAATGTACAGCAGTTGTCTAAATGCTTTAACCAATGTACAGATTACTTTGAGACAGACACCAGAATCCACAATGGAGCGACGTGTTTGTTGAAAAGAAACCCAGTAGGAATACTGCAGGAATTTGAAATGGCCCATCACGAGGCTTAGCGGCCTCATGATGGCTCCTGCTGTTAGGAGGCTGATTAATTCACACTGTGATAATGACTGGCTGAGAAACATTGGAGCGAGGGTTGAAAGACATTCGTCAGCGCGCCACATGGGGATAATAGCACTGCTTCCACAAGACAGGATTCAGAGACAAAAAAAATCAATTGGAACTCAGGCAGGGGGCAGAGGAAAGGGCTCATCTTCTCAAACTTTTCCTAATCCTGTGCGGAGGTAGAATGCGTAAAAGGAAAACGGCAAGCTTTCTGGTCATTACTGAATCTGAGTTTAATGTTTCCTAAAATAAATGTGGATATGTTTTTAAAGAGCAATGCAAGAGCCAATAACTCAGTTCATTATTTTTATTTTAGTTCTCAAATCTGTGAACTTCTTGTTTTTATTTAAAGATGTTGAGTTTATTGGAGTATGAATGAAGCTGAAAATAACTAAATGTATCTAAACATATGAGGGATGTGTCCAATTCTCTCTTTCAATTAGTATAACCTCAGAACATAATGGACATTGTTCGGTATTTTTTTTTATTTCTTTTAAAAAGACAATTTTTTCTAGCTAGGTTGTGTGTGATTTAGACATTGGCAACGTGGATGTATTAAGAAAACAACAAACAAGTTTGGGTCCTGGTTTATTCTTATAAGCAATGCTCAATGGTGCCTGAAGCTTCCACTGGGAAGTAAATTAGCTTCAGCAGCAGCTTGATTTACAATAATATGGAAACTGGCGATTAGCTTTCCTATCGATCGATATATGGTTCATGCAGTTTAGTTTTGCAGTGTATCTGGTCCAAGGGGCTATTGTAAGTCCCTTTCATGATAGAGAGCTGTCTTTTTTCCTGACTTACTCTGGATTTCTCCTGCTATTAATCCTAGCAAACCACAGATTTGAGTCAATCAGACAGTCTTAGAGGTCGCCAGGGGACTAGCAGGCCAATGCTGAGGGAATGTATTGAACACATCAACAGTCAAATGAGCCAGAATTCTCTTTAACTAAACAAAGAAAAAACTGAGGAGGTTTATCTTATGATTAATATTTTTGGTTTAAAGTCAGCACTAAGCCTCAAACGGCAATGTTGAATACAACGGAGCAGGACGGAAACTTGGTATGATCATGGACTGAATTTCAACTGCCACATTATAGATAATTACCAAGTAAGCCTACAATCACCTTAAGAATATAAAGGATTAAAGGATTTACTTCTTGGCAGGATTTGAGGAACTTGTCCGTGCATTTTTCTTCGGTAGACTTGATTACTGTAACAGTGTCTCACAAAAAAATCTATTAGAAGTCTGTCGCTGATTCAGTGTGCTGCTGCTGGAGTCTTCACTAACACCAAGAGAATGGATCACATCAATCCAGTTCTGAGGACTTTTTGTTTGTCAAACTATTGATTTGGTTTGTTTATAAAGATTTACATGGTTTAAGACAAAATACATTTCAGATTTTCGGCTACATTAATACACCCAGAAGGCTCAGGTCATCTGGGAAACTGATCGTTAGGAAGCAACGTCCATCTATCTATTTATCTATGTTTAACTGTATTTTAATTACCTTTGGTATGTTTCTTTTGCACTTTGTCTCTGTTTTTTTATGTAGTTCTTGAAGTCTTGAATGTCTTTTTGGTATTTCTTCGCAGTTGTGGTTTGATTTTTTTTTAATGACACATCGACTCATTTTGCAGGGAGGCTGAATCAAGTGTCATACCAGAGGATTTTTAACATTCGAATGTTGTTAGACTTCTTTTGGGGCATTTGGCTTGTCCAAATAACCCATCATGATAGTTTTGTGATGCTGTAGTGTAGCCACTCTTGGGATTATAATATATAATTAATATAATATTAACATAAAGTCTGTTATTGTTAAGGATATTAGAGCAATACAATTTATTAGTATCATTAATAGCAGTAGTAGAAGTGGGTGTCTCCACAAACCTCCAACCAGGAGCAAACATCGTTTTCATGCATGCTTTTCATCTTTGCTTCATCATGGAACTCATCCATCATACAATCCATCAGATTCATCAGGGACTTCACTAGACTGCCAAGGCACAC